GACATGTAATGTTCGTCTGATCACATGACACATCAGATTTTACCAAATCTTGTGTTCTTTACACAGTAAAATCGAAGTCCTAGGCTAGCACAGTAAAATCGAAGTCCTAGGCTAGGCATCATCAAACTGAATGGGCACTAACATTCACACTAGGAGAAAAGTTGAGTAAGATTTTATGAGCTTCAGACCTTAATGGTGTTGGTCATTAGAGTGATAGTTCTTGGCCTTCACAGGATTTTCCTGGATTGATACCATCTTTTAACTTGATGCGCTGAATAATTTTATGAACAGTTTTCTTAGAGATCTTCAAACGTGCAGTTATCACTCGTTCAGACTTGCTGTCTTCCAGTAAAAGTTGTATTTGTACATGTTGAAAAAATGATGTTGTAACCATGTTTTATTCAAAAATGATGATTGAATTACACATAATATTAATGTATGTAAGAATATTTACTATAAGTTGATAAGAATGCAATCACATATGCAAGGCATAATTAATCAGTGTGTTTCCAACAGTAATATCTGACTTTTTGGGTCATAACTGTATAATGGATACCTCTTTTTCTGCATTAATGATCCCATAAAATATTTATTCAGACAGTTCTTCGTCCATTGGCCCTGTATAGCTAAGTCCCAGGCTGCCTGTTCCCATTACCTTAAGAGGGATCAGCTATCTTTCAGAGACAAAAGCAAGTCTAACAGTAAGTAAAATATTAGAATCACAACCAACAGTTTTTCAGCCACAATCAAAGAGAAGTGACCATACTCCCTTAATAAGAAAGAAGTCAACAAACTATTCAGTCGACTGTTCTTCTACAATGATCTGGTTTTTTTGAGGCTATTGGTATCACATTTAACCTTTGCCTAGACAAAATTTATAGACACATAATCCAAGAGCTTCAAAGTTATATTATTTCACAATGGAAACAATTATTATCCATTTCAATGGTTCACTCTGCACATCTCAAAGAAGACTTACCCATATCAAGATGTAGTAATTACTTTGAAATATGACAACTACAGAGGTCATCTAAGCCTATAAAATAGTGTCATTCTTTATGTCTTCAAAACAATTTCATAAAATTTCTTTGTCTCCATTGTTTTAGGGACAGCCCTGACACTAAGGTACATTATCACAGTTTACTGTGAAAGAGGAATGTTAAGAGAAATTGCTGATGCAGCCACTGCACATTAAGTAAAGCCTCATCAAGCAATTTGTAACTGCAGTTGACAAAGCTGGCTCCTAAAAAACCTCAAAGATACTAAGTAATTGTCTAGAGGTAAGATTATCAGAACACAGATCAAGAAGATCGTAAACAGGACGGAGAGGCTTGGAAAAGTTGTTGCAGTTCTTTACCTGGGTAATCACAAGGTTGAAAACTTAATTTTTCAAAAAGAACTATGCTAAAATGGAGCGTAGAATGTCAATTAAAATGCATATACTCAATGCTCAACTTGATAAATTCAAGAAGAACATAAAAGCTTACTATGAGGAACAAAGTTGGTTTCATATATAGATATAGATTTAATGGACTTTGAAGGTCATTATCAAGAACAACATAACAAAAACATAAAGGATTTTGTTTTTACTGTCTTTTTTGCTCTTCAATAAGCAACTATTGTTGTGTATATGTCTTATTAAACCTAGTGAATGAAATTTTTTTTTGTTCTGTCTCAATAATAACAAATTTTCTTTGTGCTGTGATCATAAAATCAAAGTTTATGCTTAATCTAAATGTTTTTCCACAGCCTTTAGATGCAAACAATTGAAATATAAGACTTAAAATCTAAGGACAAATTTGTGTTATTATAAAAACATAATTTTGACTATAATTTGAGTCTTTAAATTGTAAAATTATTTCTACAAATGTATGTTTTACTTTACACCAAGACAAAAAAATTTAAATCACAAAATACAATCAAAGTTAAACCTAAACTTTGTACCAAATGACGACTCAACAGCTTTTCTTCTATGATAATCACAATCTGCTAGCCATAACTGTAAGTAAGATGAGGCTTCAGAAAAACCACCTTTCAATGACTGGTTAAATACCTCTATTAAAACAAATTTTTTTTATATATATATATGTATATATATATATATATATATATATGTATATATATATATATATATATATATATATATATATATATATATATATATATATATATATATATATATATATATATATATATATATATATATATATATATATATATATACATATATATATATATATATTATAGTGTTTTAATAAATATTAGAACCGCTTACATTTTTTTTCAATACTCGACAGAAAAACTTGAATAGAAATTAAACGGATTAAGATTTTTCAATTATTTTCTCTAAATCGAGTAGATAAATTAATTGTTTATCAGATATGATTTTAATTGAAATAAAAAAATTGCTAATTGGATTTAAATTAAGACTAAGTAACTAGAGGTAATTTTCTAAGCTGATATAAATTATCTATTAAATTTAGCACATGACTTTGAAACCACATATCATAAAAAGTTAATTTTTGAATTTGAAATTTTGTGCATTTGTTCACTACTATGTAAAGGATATGTTACAAAAAAAAATTTCTAAAAAATTCAAATTAGAAATAAAGTTAAGATAGTTGGTACTTCCAGACATTTTTGGTAAAAAAATGGGTAAAAAAGCAGTAGATGATGCAACTAGATGGCAGATTGTTGCATTAAAACAAAATACACACAAATAGCAAAAGAGTTGGGTGTTTCACAAAAATGTGTCTCAACAACAATAAAAAACTACAAATTGAGAAAGAGTGTCAAAGATATGCCGCGCTCTGGAAGAACAGAAAAGCTTAGCACCCAAGACAAAAACTTCTTCATACAAAAGGTTAATGCCGAACCTAAAATTACTCTCTGAGAATTAGCCGAGGATTTCAATAGCTCGTTCAGAAATCATAGTGTTAGCTATGAAACGGTAAGAAAAGTTTTAAAGGAAAAAGGAATCATTTTGAACAATGCTGCTAGGAAGCCACTTTTGACAGTACGAGACCGGTTGAGACGACTGAAATGGTGCCGAGAACATGCCAGTTGGTCAGTAGAAGATTAGGCAAAGTGTATTTTCAGTGATGAATCCAATTTCGAGGTTATAAATCACAAAGGATGAGTTTATGTCAAAAGAAAGAAATGGCAGAAGTATAGTATTGGTCTCTGCAATATGTACACTGGTCGGATCAATCAATATAACTACAAAACAACTCTGGAGCAGCGTTTAATTCACACACACTGCCAAGTCGATAAAAGATTGGTTTTCAGAGAAGAAGATCCAAGTGATGCCCTGGCCCGCCCGATCGCCTGATTTGAATCTGATTGAGAATCTTTAGGCTTGAATGGACCGCCAATTAATGAGCACCAAGCTGACATCGGTTGACCACTTAAAGCAAGCGATAGAAGAGACATGGAAGAATATTCCAAAAGAGTTCTGCATGAAATTGATTGAGTCTATGCCTAGGAGAGTTCTTTCATGTATAAAAGCCCGCGGTCGACATTTTAAATATTGAAATTTTTTTGAAATGTGGTATATTTAACTGATTTTTTTGCTACCCTTATTTTTTATGTCTACTTGTTTTATTTTATTTTTGCGATTTTTTTTACTTAAATTATAAAAGATACCTTATTTAATAAAACAAAAAAAAATAATTGAAAAATCTTAATCCGTTTAATTTCTATTCAAGTTTTTCTGTAGAGTATTGAAAAAAAATGTAAGCGGTTCTAAATTTTACTGAAACACTGTGTGTGTATATATATATATATATATATATATATATATATATATATATATATATATATATATATATATATATATATATATATATATATATATATATATATATATATATATATATATATGTATATATATATATATATATATATATATATATATATATATATGTGTGTATGTGTTTGTGTGTACATCAGGGCACAACAAATCATTTTTTTTTTAAATATACGTTGACGTTTGTTTCTTTATTTATTGACAAATGTCTAATTTTAGAGGTATGTCAAATAAACCCACACACATTTTTTCTAAAAGCCTTTTTTTTTTTAAAGAGAAATTCTAGATATAGATGACTTTTTTTAAAAAAATAGATGGTTAGAAGGTTATGGCCTGCCACTTTGAAACCCGTGCCATTGGCCATGAATAAGCCAGTTTTATTTTTAATTCTTTCAATTTGTAATTTTTTTTATTTAAATAATTTTTCATTAAATCATAAGGGATTTTTTCTTTCAAATAACTTGTATTCTAGTTAATAAGATATATAAAAATTAGATATATAAATATATATAATTTTTTATTAAATCAAAACAATTTATGATAGCTAATACACAATAACTGCAAACTATAACAGCTGGCAGTCGCAAGGTTATTGTACGCATTTGTGCGCAAATTAATGATAGCTAATACACAATAACTGCAAACTATAACAGTTGGCAGTCGCAAGGTTATTGTATATTTATACAAAATAATGAAATTGTTTTAATTTACTTTGTTAAATTTATTTACTTATAAAAAAAAAAGTATAAACCTGAATAAATTTAAATAAAAGGGAACTAAAAAAAAAAAAAATTTGTTTTGACATTTCTTTTTCAAAACATTTAAATATTAAGTATTTAATAAGTTATTACGGTTGAATCGTATTTTATGCGTTAAATTAAAATTTAACTATAAATTTAAATATAAATTAAAATTTAAATTAAAACGTTAAATATGAAACCTCAAATTTAAGAACCAATCAAAAAAATATTTTGTATACTTTTACACTTAATTTTTTTTTTTTGCGCTTTTTTTAATTAAAAAATGCCATTATAAAAAAATTAAAATAAGAAAAAAAAAGGCTTTTGAAAAAAGCCATGTTTAAGCAAGGTTTCTTTTAAAGTAATTGCAAATGGAATCATTTTAAATAAAATTTTCGAAGCTTTAGTAAACGCATGTAAGAACCATGCTAAAACTACTTTTTTCAGTTGTGTACTTAATTATTTAACTTAAAAGTAAGGTCAAAACTTTTTTCCACTGAGCAAATCCAGGTTTCATGTTTTTAATAAAATCCTGACCCAAATATAATAAATGCTTGAATATCGAATTCGTTTTTAATAGTGATAAGTTATACCAAATTTTGCTATAATTATTAAAAATAATTATTTAATACAATATACATAATAATTATCTACCACAAATTATTATAAGAAAATGAGTATAAACAGTTTAAAGAAATTCAAAAAATTCAGGTTTTTGATTTTACAAATAACGCAAAACCTGGATTTGCTCATTGGAAAAAAGTATCAACCTAAAAGTAACGTTATTGAAGAAAGTATTAACATGATTTCTTTTAAAGTCATTTTTAAATTTTAGTAATTGTTTTTTATAATAAATATGTTTTTTTATAATAAATAAAAAAACTATTAATCACATAATTATTTGGAAAAAAATACAATTATTATTGTACATACAATAATAATTGTTACAAGTGAATTTTTAAATATCTTAAATGGAAAGTGTTTTTTTCAGTTGAAGAATATTTATTTTAAAAATCAATTTAAGTTTTTTTTTACTTAATAAATTTACCTCTTATTTTTTTATTTGTGATTTAAATTTGACAAAATAATAATTATATGTCTATTTTATAGCTTTACTCCCAAGCAACTTTTGTTAACTTGGGCAACTTTAACAAAAATAACATTAAAACTTTGATTTAACTTACCTAGTAGCAGTGTGGAAGAGTACTTAGCTTGTTTCTTAATTAAATAGGTTTGTGTTTTAACATTAAAGGGTGCAGAGGTGGAGTACTAATAAGTATTAATAAAAAATAGACTAACCAATTTTACATATATATGCGTTGATTAACCCAAAAATTTAAAAAATCATCAGTTATCTGGTGTAAATCTTTAGAATGTAAAAATTACACCAGAATTTCCATTATGTCCATTTTAATACTTTGATGTTTGTATTTGTTGAAAAAATCAAACTGATCAAAACTTTGAAATTTTACTGGAGTTTAAACTAATTTAAAAAAATAGTTTACACTAATTTAATTTTAATTTAAAAAAATGTACAATTAAATTACTAATTGTACTAACTAATTAAAACAAGTACCTTTTATTTCTGAATAGTCTTTATTACTCCGCTCCTAAAAATTAAAAAAGTTATATAAACAACTATCATAAATAACAAAACAATTGTAATTACTGAAGGGCATTTCCAAAAAATCACACACGGAACATTGCATCTGTTGCATTGATTATTTTAAAAATTTTATCACTTTGTAATCTCGACTTTTATTTAAATGACATTTATATATATACCCTATATAAAGTATAGTAGCTACGGGTTGCTTCATTACAAAATAAATTAATTTTTTATTAGTCACGCACAAAACAGAAAAAAAGCAACAACAAAAAAAAAATTAATAAATGAACTCTATTTTCTCTGAAATTGTATCAGTGACAGATGTTTTGTTTTTTATAGGTAATTATACAAGCATTCTTAAAGATTACATAGTTACAGCATTCTAAGATGTATCTTTGCTTCACAATAGTAGTTTGAACCAAGATCGCGCACGAACAAAAAAAAAAAGTAACAAACGGAACATGCAAAAATTTGGTTTCCTAACAATTTTTACCATTTTTGATTGCTTACAAATTGCCATAAGAGCACCATCCACATTAAAAAGAAAAGAATTGTGGCGAAGGGTAAAGAATACCCTTGACTTTAAATTTATCTTTGAGAAGTGCCTCATTGATCTCATATTGGTTTGTACTAATACACTCATTTGTAATCTAGATTATTTTAAAAAATGAATATTTAATAACCAAAACTTTCATATCTATAACTTTCATATTTAGGTTTTTTCTCTTAATAACGACTTACATTAACTTTGGTATTTTTTCACTTGTAATGCTCAAAATATCTTCCAAACTGTGACAATATTGTTTACCAGATTTTACTGTTGTCCAAACCATTTTTTTTTATATCTCCACCTATGCTCCCTTTCCATGTTGCAAAAAATGACCTACGAATCAACAACAAGAGCAGATGACAGCCATGAATAATTTGTACAAATTATTCATGACTGTCATGACATGAATTTTTAAATTGTGATGAAGGACCATCTGTAAAAAAGTGTAATTTAAATATTTGGATAACGACTTAATTACTGTTTGATAATAAACAAGACAGCATATTTATCATGAAGCAAACAATCGGATGGCATAAGAATGTGTATTGCTTATACTCCAAATTGCAGCAGTGAATACTGTTAGTTGCTGATAAACCCAGTAAGCGGATTGAATTTCACTCTGCTCCATTATGGCATAATTTTCACTAAAATCCATCTGATTTTAGAAGAATTAAAAATATAAATGAATGAATATTCAGTTTATAAATTTACCAAAAAGATTAATACAAAATTATTAATTTTGTTATCGTACTACAAATGAGATTACAATTTTACTTACTTGTATAATCGAATCATTTTCTGATACATTTTGGCAACATAAACAAAATATGCACTTAGTTGTCACTTTAGATTCACATGACATATATAATCTGGCAATTGCTGAAGCAACAATATGCACCCCTCTAACAAAGATGTTAGTGGTTATTCCATTTTCTGCGCATTTCTGAGGACCATTGGTTGAAAACAAAGAGCAGTTTGTTTGAATCATCACCAAATGAGTCATTACATAAGAAACATATTCATCAAACTTTGCCAACCCACAGTTCACTTTATATTTCATAAACATGCAAGATTGGCTGTTTTGATTACAAACAGATCTGTCAACTGTCTGACATTACATTAAATCTTTTTTGATGGGCATTTGTTAACAACCTAAAATTTTCAAGGTAAATGCATAGGCAAACATCATGAGGATGATCATTTTCCAGCTTGATATAAAATGGTCACAGATTGTAAAACTCAGATTTCCCCACTTTTAAACTAATACGCTCACTTTTTAAAAAGATTTTAAAAAGTGAATATGCTTCTCCTATGGTTGTTAGCATGTGATGAATTTGTTTCTAAAAGAAAACAAAATTTTTTTACAAAAATTGAAAAGAATAAATAAAATGCGATTTCTACATATAAACGATGTGTCTTACCTTCTTTTTTGTTTTCTTATTTATAGCATCATCTTTGTGACCTGGAGCCATTCTACTGATATCTTTTCACAAATAAAAATCAAAAACTTTGCAACTAACATTGTCTAAACCAGCGTAGTCAGGGCCTGATTCTGAAATATCAGAATGTACTATATTTTCACATTTACAAAATTCTTTCAAAAGGTATTTTCTTTTGTTTGAATCAGCAGGTAATACTAAATTAATTTTTTAGTGCCTTTCTAAAACTCTGCGGATATAAAAAGGACTACTCAATATCAGATGAAGATTGGTTTATCTTCGTGCTTTCACTTCTTTCTTTTGCAATCTTTATGACATACTTCCTCCTTTTCCTAGTCGCTCATGTTGGCCTTTTTATTTTTTATTCGATTAGTTTCAGCAATCTGATATTCTGAATGTTTCTTTCTAAATTTATTTTGAACTATTGAATACTTAACTTTATTCATTTCAATTCTAAATTCTTTTAAGCAACTATTTTTAATTTAACTAAACTATAGTCAAACTAATTAATCAGTAAATATGCGATTCAAACATTATAAAGCTAAAGAAACTAATTATCATGCATGGATGAATATTTGGCTGTGAGTGATATGTCTGTGCATGATGCAAAAAAACAATGCTAAAATGGCATAGAAGAAAAAAAAAAACTTTTGCCATTCCATTTGTAACCTAAAAATATGCAAAGTAAAAAAAATCATATTTCATTGAAACTTTTTAGCACTTATTTTTCCAAATAAATAGATCTTTAAAGTCACACACAGAAATTCAAAACGCCATTCCCTTAGGCATAAAATTTAAGATACTTCCAAGATAATTAGTTGCAATTTATGATAATAAAATATTAAAAGAAATTATCTTTAAGAATTAAAAAATCTGGGCAACGAAATCAACTTTAAACATCATAACCACATGTAATAAGAATTTTTGTTTTTTGTCTTGAAAAAAATTTGTACTTATTGGGAAGTTTGAATAATTGAAAAAGGAAGAAAAACTTGTCTCCTAAAATTTTTTAATTTCATTTTTTTCTTTTGGATAATCGAAATATCATGTACCTTCTTTTGAATTCCACCTTCCAAATTTAAAAAAAAAAAAAATTTTAATTTCATTTTTTTTGACTCACTGGAATGGAAATGCCCTCTAGCAACTAATTATATTTCTTCAGCATAAAAAATAAAACAGTAAATGATTAACAACCACCTGGACAAGGAAGATTAACAAAATACATCAATTTAGCGAATACAAGAAGAATGTTAACAACATATTAGTTAAATTGCACAAAACAACTTATATTGAATTATTTCTTATATTGATATTGTTTATTGTAAATAATTTATAAAGCAATTAAAAGGATTTTCAAAACATATTTATGACATTTATATCACAACAAATTGTATACTTAAATACAGTTAACAATTACAGTTAGTTATTGATGTATACAATTTTAAATAATACATAAGAAAATTTTAAATTAGATTATTGATGCACTATATACAACTTTATGTATATAATGTGTGGAGATAATTTCATGTAGATAGTGTGGAGAAAAACAAAAAATAACAATATTCCAATTGAATTAAAAATTGTTTTAAACTATTTGAAACACATACCAGAGCATTTATGTATTTGACCCATAATGAGCTAACCCACGGACAATTTCTTACAGATCTTATATGAGCAACCAAAGCTATATCTGGAATCTTTAACTTGTAATCCTGCAACAAGAAAAATTTATATTAATTATTAAAACTATAACATAGTTTAAATTATTGGGTCATCCTTAAAGTACACACCTCAAACATAAACACTTTTCTTTTATTTCATCACCATTATCATTAAAATTAATATTATTAGAAATTAAAAAAGAAATTAGAAATTAGAAATGATAAAATAAAATTACTCAACTTTATCAACTTGATGTTTTATTTTTATATTCATATACTAACTATAAATATTAGAGATAACCTTAAAACAATTTGTATTAATAAACTTAAGCTATCATTAAACTGGTAGTTTTCATATCCTTAAAATTACTTGCACAATTTGCATAAATTACTTGCTTTAATTAATTTTTATAAAATTACTTGCTTAATTGTTTCCAAACATAATTTAACTTCTTAAATTATGTTTGGAAACAATTGTTATCAAAGTGAGAAGTTATAACATAAAGTATAACTTCTCACTTTGATAACAATTTAAAATGTAAAGAATTTAAATATTAGGGTAGATTAGGGTAATATGAGCACCTAAAGCAAAAATTGGAATATTTTCAAAAATAATTATGCTGGATTCAAAATTTTTGCAAATAAATTTTTTTAGGGATCCCTACTCATTTAAAAAGTAGCAAAAGTGGTCATATTACCCAGACCACTAGGTAATATGAACACTTTAAATTAGCTCAAAAAAAAACATTAACTAGGTAAAAAAAAAAATAGCAACCTGACAATTAGAACTAATTTTTGGAATATAGTGATTCATTATTAACAAAACTTATTATTAAAAGATCAAGTTTTAAGTCACTTTTTGTTGAAACAATACTACTATGTTTTCCACAAGAAAAAAAAAAATAGTTGTTTATTTTTTCAATTTTTTCTCAAACTCAAACCTTTGAGCAATAAAAAATTCAAATTTTTTGAATTTAAATTACAGAAAAATAGTATTGTTATAATATTTAATTTTTTAACTATGTTTTGTTTTTATTAAAGAAGCAATTAAAACCTGCTTTTTTAGGACTTTAAACTAGATAATTTCAATGAAAAACACTGGGTAATTTGAGCATGCTCATGTTACACAAAAATGTAACATGAGCATGCTCAATGTCAATAAAGTCAAAAGTAAATGTTTCTATGCATTGTTTTTCAAACAAAAATGGATTGGATTTTTAGTTAACAAATTTTTCTTTATGAAAAAAATTAATTTCATTATTTTAGCACCAAAATTTCACGCCACATTTTATGTGTGATGATATTATTTTAACTATGCAAAAATTTAATAGCATTTTAATTAGATGATAGCCGCTAATTACTGCATGTAAGTTTATACTAATTGTACTGATTCCTGTTTTCACCACATAAATTTGATTCAAAAAGTACAAAGCATGCTTAACTTCAATGTTCAAATCTTAGAAATCTTAAAGTATGCTCATATTACCAAGGTGCTTGTATTAACCTTATCTACCCTAAATAATACTACATATCTCACTTTATGATTTAATAAAAAAATTGAAAAATTAATTTTTTAAATGTATTAGTTAGCCTTTGAAAATATAATTCAAACAATATATATTTGTTAAATATTAATAAGTTGAAAATACAACCAAAAAATTACTTTAAGCCGCCTAAAAACAGATCCGAAAAAAAGATTAACCTGTATCATTAAAAACAGATTTCAATATCAATAAATTTTAATTATAATAAAACTAATATAACTAATATTTATTAATTACACTAAATATTAATACTAATATAATTAATATTTATTAACTATACTGATACCAATACTATTAACAAACATTAAATATATTTTGATATTAATTATCATTAATTATAATGTGTATCATTAAAAAAAAAATGCAAAATAATAGATTGTGTACAGCATCAATAAATAGTTATTAAACTATTTAATTTAGTTATTACTATTAAACTATACTATTATACTATTTAAAGTATTTATAAAAGTAAACAGTATCATGTATGATTAAACTAATTATTTTTACTTTTTAAATAATTGAAGAATTAAGAGCTTAAAAATCATTAAATGATCTATTAATTTACTGTATCTTTTAATTGGTCAAGTTTAAAAAATATGACCAATCAATAGATACAGTAAATTAATAGATCATTTACCATATATAATATAATATATGTATGTAAACATATATAATTCATATGTATGTAAACATATATAATTCATAAACAGTTTAGTAAAATAGTAATTGCTAATAATATAGTCATTGACAAATAGTAATAAATGGTAAGTAATTGTAACCAAGAATAACTGATTTAAAGTTACCAAATAATTTAAATATTTTATCCATAGTTCATGTTCGAGACAATGATCTTTAATAGCTCTTTCAAAGATAGATTGTATTCTTGCTGGATCGCCATCTTTTATTTCATAATTAATATAATTTAAATACTCTTTTAAACTAGGTACATTTGTAGCAGCATTAATTGATAATTTCTAAAATAAAAACATAATTAAAACTATTAGTTTAAAAACAAAAACTTAATTTAAAAAAATAGTACATTCTTTTTCAATGTACTGTTACTTATTTTCACAAAGTTTGTTTGTACATTTACATTTTTGATAGTGAAAACTTGAATGAAAAAGATTTTAAAAACTCAATATTGCAATTAAGAATGAATAATGCAAATAATATATAAGTATTGCAAGTAAATATTTATTTACATTCTGAGAAAATCTGGAAAAAAAATTAACAAATTTTGTTGAATTAAGAATATCTCATCTGTTCGAAAATGTTTTATTTTATGTGTAAGCTTTGTTTAATAAAAACTTATTTGTAAAAAATTTTGACGTAAAAAATGTTTTTGTAAAAATTGCAATATGTGATATGATAAAATAGGTACTGACTAGTAATTATCAGTAATTGCAATTACTGATATAGTTGTAGTACCAGTGGAGTTTATATACATAAACTAATTTAAATAGGGATATGTAAAGTAAAGTGTACATACATTGACTGATTAGGTTTATGTTTAGGCTTAGGTTCTATTCTTTTAAATAAAACTATATTTCAGTATTTATTTAAATATCTATAATTTAATTTATATAAAAAAATTATTAAATTTAATTACACTAGTTTTTTAGGTGAAAATAATTAATAAATTATGCTTAGATAAGAGCACACAAATAAATATAAATATGTTGTACCCGTGTATTAATGTAAATTAATCTTATTATAATTAAAGAGATAGTTTACAAGTTTACCCTTTGCTTAATTTATAAACAATCCCTTTAATTATTTAATGACTTAATAACGAAGTGACAAAAAAATATATTTAAACTTGTATCTTCAAAGGACTATTTGGACATCCGGAAGAAATAAATATTTAAAGAAATGTTTGGAATTTGGGAAAAGTTAACAACTGTACTTTGTAACATGTTTGGAAACATTTTTATACTTTCTTAGAACTTCTTAGAATTTCAAGACATTTTGTAAACTTTAAACAGCTGTTTATAGCTTTTTAAAAAAATGTACTTTTTTAATATAGAACTATTTTTAACTTTTCAAAACATTCTAGACATTTATAGAACAACCAAAAACTAGATATTTATATCTAATATAATGCAGCTGTTTATGTAAACAGTTGTAAATATAAACATTTACGATTGCATTGAGTTGCATTAACAGTTACATATCAATTGAAGACCTTGGTGCAAAAACAATGTAACTTCGTTTTTGAAAATTATTCAGGAGGAAGAAAAAACGGAATATTTTCATATGTAAGGACTACGTATTTTTCTACCAAATCATGTGTTTAATTATTCCAGAAGTGCTTTAATCTATGTCATTTTTTATATTAACTGATAGAACTTCTTTTTTATACTCATACTCCATTAAAACCTGAAAATTGATAAAAAGTGGAGTTACATCGTTTTTGCATCGAGGTCTTCAATTGTTTGGTCAAGAAACATTGAATTTCAGTTTTTTGTATTTGAGAACAAAAATAACATTTTTTTTATTTTTTATTTTCAGAGATATTTCATAAGCTATTGATTTAGATATTGAAAAAGTAAGAGAAAATGCAATTGGATGAATCACAATATATTATTGCTGAATTTAATAGTAGTATTAATACGTATTTGTGCGTGCTTGCACAAAACCCATGACAGATATTGAATCTGAGATAATAGTGAGAAAGAGTCTCTCAATACTTTTTTATAAGAAAAATTGGACGAAAGTCTATGCAAATATCTAACTTATGTAAATTTTATGATATGGAAATAGTAAAGTTTCTTAAAGGTTTACAGTTTTACTTTTGAAGTTTTCTACAAATATGTTTAATTTGCTGAAAGAAAAGGACTATGTAACATGTACATGTAATTAGAATACAATAAACTATAAAATTGTTTTGTATTGCATTTTAAATAACAAAAAAAATTTAAAAAAGCAAACTGCTGATTTAAACTTTCCATGCAACGACCTTAACTTTTTCAAAACCAGTAAGGGGGTTTTTTTAAGTGTGTTTTTATTAGGAACATAAAAATTCTAATTTTATATTTAAAACAAATCATTTCATTAAATCTATTTTATTTAAAAATAAAAAAATGTTAAAAAATATTTTTTTAACATTTTTTACAACTTTTTTACAACAAAAATGGTAAAAGAGTTTTACAACTATTTTACCATTTTTGAATCTCTCTTTTATTGTATATTTTGTAATTTTTTAATCTGTTTTTAAAGTTACTAAAGTTTAATTTTTTAATGTTTTAGTTAATAAAACACGTTCTATTTTGTAGGTGATGTATTGAAATTGTATCTTGACAAGCAGGTTTGGTCGGGAAGTAGGAGCGATCGCTCTCGATTGCTGACCATGGAAATAATATTTACGTGCAAAAAGCTGGCCAGATTTTTTAGTTTTTGAGAACATTTCAAAAAGAAAAAAAAATTGTAAAAAAAGCTTAATTGGACCGATGAGAGACAATTACAAAAAAAAAAAAAATAATAAAGCAAAATAAATTACATTTAGAACAAATATTTTTAAAACATCGCTCTTTTATAATTTTTCTATAAAATTAAGCAGCGTTTTTTATATAAAGTAACATCTTACAATTGTTTAAAAAGGAAAAAAATGTGTTTTATTTAACAAAGTTTGCAACTTTTAGTTTTATCTAAGCTAAATTATTTTATAAATAAAAAAGTTAATTTTTTTAATACCTATTTTATGTTTCGCGTAGGTTAAAAAGTTTCTTCTCAGTAAGATAAAAAATTACATAATTAAATCATTGAATTACTATAAAACTAAATTAACTAGATAGAAATCAACTAAAAAAGTTAAAAATACTTTATGACGAGGAAGCGAAACTTCTTCACAATATCGCTAATGATGTTTAGTGAGCTTTTTAATTTTAATTAGTATTTAAAGCAGAAAAAAGTATAACGAGTTTTTAAGAATGGCAACTTGAGCGAAAATAATTAGAGTTAGTAAACTAATATCCAGAAACTTTTCTTTATATTTAATTATTTGCTATATATATTTGTGTTCTGTCGTGACTTCAGGCGCAGTGCTTTTTCATCCGCAAGTTACTTTGTATACATTGTTTGTGCTTAGTAACCAGAAACTTCTTATATGTTTGTTACATAATTAGTTTTATTAACTTTAATGATTATTAATAACTTCATTAAAAACGCAATTATTTTTGTATGTCTTTGTTTACAAATTAAATCATAAAAATTGCTTTAAAAGATTACATTACGATAAAAACAGATACACAAAATTAAATTTACATAAAAAATACACACTTTTTAAATAAAAAAATTAGAATTTACTAATAAAATCTATAAGTTATAATAAACTATTAAAATTTTGACAATTTAAATAATATATATATATATATATATATATATATATATATATATATATATATATATATATATAACAATTATTATTGTAAACAAATATACAAAATAGTTTATAAGATTTGACGGATTTTTGGAGATTTGGCTCCGAGAATGAGCAATAGTATTTTTTCTTAAAACATTCTTAAAACATTTTATAATTCTTATCTTATTGATAATATATTCTTATCAACAATAATATATTCTTAAAACAATTTAACTTAGAAATCTCAAAACGTAACAAATCGTGGATAATGCAATTTCTAAAACGTTTCAACAGAACACTTTAGAACTTTATTTCGCTTAGTCAGCGTATTTTTTGAACCAATAGAATTAGTTTGTTCGTTAATTTGGCGGGTTTTTAGTGTTCGCACATAATCTTTATATTCTTCCGCACCAAGATGTTTTGAGAAAATTCAAGTTTTTTATGTTTCCATGTATGTCCGTAAAACAAAAATTTTTGTTTCGTATATAAACTTAAATGTTCTCAAAACGACTAAAAAACCTGCCCAGTTTTTCGCAACTAAATATAATTTCTGTGGTCAGTATGAAAGAGCGATCGCTCCCTCTTCCCAACCAAACCTGAACAAGCTGTTAATTTTATAGAAGCTAAAGGCAATTATTTTAGATATAAGTAAGTTGTTTTTTATTGTTTTTGTTAGATATTCAATCATATTTTATATGAATTTAATTGACAGTGTTATTATCTGTAGTGTCTGCTGGTGATATTCAGGTTAGATTTTATAAAGTTAAATTTACTTCTGAAGAATCTTTTAAATTTACTTCTTATGCTTGCTTTTTTTTAGCTTTTAATTCAACAAATTTTTTTGTACAAAATGTTTAAAAATGAATAACAATATTTTGATTATAATTTTAACTTTAGTGCCATAGCTTATCACATTGTAGGTTTTAAATTTTAACTTTATCTTTTTTACTTAACTTAAATTCTAATCTTTATATTCAATTTTAAAGTTTGTATTCATCTTAATGTAATGTAAAGTAGTTTACTTATGGGCTTATTATACATTTACTTTTTATACATTTACTTATGGGCTGTTTAAATAAAATGTTTTTGATTTTCTAAGTTGTTGTGAAATTGCAGTTTCTGTCATAGCCAATGACATGGGTTTCAAAGTGTAGGGGCACAATTGTCTATTCCTAAAAAAAAAGTCCTCTATATTTAGATAAGGCGATAAGATATTCTCTCAATTTTTATCATCTAATTAATTACTCGAAAAATTAACGAAAGTGGGAGGAAATAGAGTGGCATGTAGAAAATATTAAACTACAAATAGAACAAGTACTTAAATGTTTTTATTGATCTGTTTTTTAAATTTTGTTTGTAAATAAATAAATTAGTTAAAAAATACCAATTTTTTTTTCTTTTAATATTAATATAAATTAATACTAAGTATTTTAATTATATTTATATAATATAATATTATATAATAATTATATTTAAAAAAAAATTTTGTTGAATAGTTATACATTTTATTTTCACACTAAACACCATCAAAATTTAAGTCAGCAGAATATGCAAAATATTAAAATGATTTAAGAGCTACTATGAAAGTATTTATGATTCTCCGTATAAATAACTTATATAAAGTTTTATATACTATAAAAAACAAAAGGGAGTTTTTTAAAAAGCCTAAAATTTCTACAAACATTGAAGCTTTCAAAAAATTTCTAAAAACATAAAAACATGGTTACAAATTTGTTGCGCATGATAGAGACTTTAGTTATTAATGTGCTTAGTAATTAGTTACGTCTGCGCATTAAAGAGACAACTTTATTTCTTATAGAAAAAAATCTTTTACATGCAAATTTTAACTTTTTTTAAAATTAACGGGGCAAGAGTCCTTATAAGCTGCAGATGGTCTGAAAAAAAATTAACAGAAACTTATTAAAGAAAAAAATAACGTCCATTCCCATTTTTTTTTTTTTTTTTAGAACATTAAAGACTGGTACTAATACCCAATCCATTGATAAATAGCAATTCGCGCAACGCCTACCGAAACATTTAAAGTTTTTTTAAATTAGTTATAAAGGCGAACACAATTTTTTTCATGGCTTTAAAAACATAAAGTAAAGTTTTTCTATATATATATATATATATATATATATATATATATATATATATATATATATATATATATATATATATATATATATATATATATATATATATATATATATATATATATATATATATATATATATATATATATATATATATAGTTATTTTACTAAAAAATATTGAAGCAAGGAATAAGTATAAAAAAGGTCGGTGTGGAATAGATGTACCAACGCCCATAATTTATGGGTCATGACAGCTAGTTAATATTTAATAAGAAGGAATTCAATAAAGCTATCCACTAGGAAAAAAAGTTAAAAAAAAATTAATAATTTTGCAATTCTTAATCTTATGATAAAAAAATAAAAACACATAGCATTATAGATAGTAATATTATAGCACTAATATAACTTATACATTATTTTATATATAGTAGTTATACATTTTTAATATTTGATTTTATACATTTTATAAGTATTAACTTACAAGCTTTTCTTCATACTCTGTACATAAAGAAAGTTTCTGTAAAGCTCTTTCATAGCTGCGATGAACCTCACTTGGTATAGATTCTGGTAACCAATCTTCATAAATTTTGAATGTTGAAGACATTCCTTTATTTAAAAACACATGAATTATTTGTCTTTTATAAGTTAATTTAATATCTAATAGTTTAAATTATATATATATATATATATATATATATATATATATATATATATATATATATATATATATATATATATATATATATATATATATATATATATATATATATATATATATATATATATATATGTATATATATATATATATACAGTGGTGGCCAAAAGTCCTGGAACATCATTTTTTATGTTATGAAATCAATATATTTGTTCGAAAAACAATTTATTAGTAAATTTTTTTTAATTTTTTTCAATAAAATAAGTGTTTATAACAATTTTAAAGATGATAGGTACATGCACATACATGATAAAAGCTCAATATTTAATGGAAGCATAGTTATTGTCAATTACCATTTGGATACGTTTTGGCATGCTGTTAACAAGTTTTGTACAATAGTCTGGTGTAATTTCATGAATCCACACTGATTTGATTGCTTCAACTAAATCATTATAGGATCTGGGCTTTTTGGCAGCAACTTTTACTTTCATAATATGCCAACAATTTTCAATAACATTAAGATCTGGTGATGACCCAGGCCAATTTTCAAGGGTTTGAATTCCTTCATCAGCAAACCACTTCTTTACAATTTTGGCTGTGTGGCATGGTGCACCATCCTGTTGGAAATAAGTGCAGTTCAAGATCTGCATGAAAGGTGGCAACTTCTCCTTCATAACATCCACATAGACTTTGCTGTTTATTGTGGTATTCTTGGGCATTATTTATAATGGGCCACGTCCTTTGGCAGAAATAGCACCCCAAACCATACAAGACACAGGAGCCTTGACACTGCTAACTGTATATTTTGGCATATATCTACAGTTTTTTGGTCTTCTTACAAAGTTGTTTGTAACAATTAATTGTTTAATACATGTTTCATCAGAAAAAAGAACTTTAGACCAATTTTCAACAGTCCAATTTTTGTAGCGCTGACAAAATGTTTTTCGATCTTTTAGGTTTTTTAATGATAAAAAAGGTTTTTTTGCTGGCTTGCATGCCTTCATTTTGAAATCAACCAAAAGCCTCCTTCTAACTGTTTGGTCACTTACTTTTTTCTCAATAAAAATTTCTTTTGAAATCTCGTGTGCAGATAGCCATGGATTTGCATGGCTGATCCGGCCAATAAGTTCGTCAGTTCTTGAAGTGGTTGCTCTGGGCCTGCCTGATCTCATCTTTGAAGTAAAATTTAATTGGGGCTCTTCTTTATGCCTTTTTAAAGTTCTACTTACAGTTGATAATGAATAACCAAGCTTTTCAGATATTTCTCTTTGAACTAAACCTTGTTCATATAATGCAGCAATAATTCCTCTTTTTTTAGGTGAAAGTTCTGGCATAATATAGCTGATAAATTGCTTATGAATAATAAAAAACGATAATAAATTGCGCAATATACAAATATGTAACTATAAACATATTGCTATGTAAAAACAAAAGCATCAAACCTTCAAAATTTATACTTTAGATCAAAAATAAATTTTTTTGGTCGTTAAATGTTTTGTTCCAAGACTTTTGGCCACCACTGTGTGTATATATATATATATATATATATATATATATATATATATATATATATATATATATATATATATATATATATATATATATATATATATATATATATATATATATATATATATATATATATATAAGAGTGTCCCAAAAATAAATCATAAATCTAATTTAAATGTGCGGAATACTACTGGATTATAACCATAAAGAAAAACAAAACAAAAATTAAGATTTAAGCTTAAGGAAAAGGTTATTTAGGTGAATTTACTTTTATATAATAATTTATAATAAATAAATTTTGATTTAAAATTGATTTTTATCTGAGACAATTTTTATTTATGTTTAGACAAAAGGCATTGCTAACAATGAAAAAAACAATAAAAACTAATGATGAATTCAAGTCAATATATAATTAAAGCAGAAATAAATCAAGTTTAAAAGTTGTTTTTAACTAAGAAATTCAACTAAAACACAGTTTTGAACATGAATATAAAATTCATTTACCAGTTTCACTATTTTTTCATTATTAGTTATTACTATAATCCTGATTCAATGAACTACAACTACATGCATCTAATGCGGATTTTTTAAATGAAATAAATTGATTTTAGAAAATTTCTCTGGACATTAATTGTCACGCTAATTCACTGAGAACAGATATTGATGATGCATCAAAAGCTATAAGGAAGAGAAGACAATTTTATTTGTTAAGGTTCCCTTTATAGAGTTTTGCCGCTAATAGACTTCCAACAAATGGAGAAATGCTCAAAAGGTATTACTGGCTTAATCTCAAAAAAAGCAATAAGTAAATCTGTAATTAATTAACAAAAGCATTACATTTTTTACATGTTAAATGTTAACTTTTTAATGTTTTTTTTTAATTTTTTAGCACCACACAGATCCAATTCAAAATTGGTTGTCCAGTTGCTTACGGGAAGACATATTTAGTAATTTTAAAGTGAGGAATACCTCACTTTAAAATTACTAAAAACACTAGAACTACTAGAGGGTAGCTACAAAAAGAAGGTTAACACTATTTTGAAAAAGAGCAGTGCTCTTTTCTCTATTAATAAAACAAACATATTTGATTTAATAAAAAGTGATAAAAATAGGGATAATGAGGCTAAGAAGGAAGTTGAAGGAAGAAACTGAGTGCAACGAACTATATTTACATAGAAAAGGTTTCAGAGTGACATCAAAGTTTGCCTTAAGCTTTAAGCAAATCCTCTTCGAATGATATAATTTTAAGTACAATTTTCTTTCTCATTCAAATTAGAAATAAGTAACAGTAATTTTTTTTTTCATAAAAAATATTCAAATCAGTTCCTACAAGTTGTTGGACGGAAAATGTTGTCAACACATTGCATAACAATCAATGCAAAGCTACATGGTAGATTAGTTAACTTAAGCAATATGGTAGATAGTATTTAACTTAATGCAAAGAAAAAAGAGTGTATCAATTGTATTCTAAGTCATATTGACATATCTAAATGTTGGGTGACTACATTCAAACTGTTTTTTTTTTCAAATGATTAACAATTTTACCTAAAATATTTCTGCACAAGATTCTAAATAAAATATTGTCGAAGAAGTTTCTGGAGAATAATGTCAATAATGTTTATGTAGCACAGACTGAAAAAAATTATGAGATAGACATGAATATACATGAGCGATGCTGAATTAGTGAATTAGAATTAGTATGAAAGATATTCTTAACAATTAGATTTTAATTATGACCAGATTTGAGATTGGAGTCAGGCCGAGAATATGTTATATTTTGTCTTCTCTTTACTAGGCTGGTGGAGTTAATATTGATAAAAAGTCGATATCAAGATCAACTCTAAACAGGAAAATTCATAATGTTGTGGAGTGTGAGGCACAAATAATTAGAGAGGAAAACATAGATAAAATAAGAGGTTTAACAATTGTGGTACATTTCGATACCAAGATTTTGAAGAGTTACGATTGAGAAAAAGGAATATCTAAATATGAGGATAGAATTGCTATTAGCGCATCTTCACCAGAGTCTGGTCCACAAGACTTTCTTTTTGGCATCTTAAAAATCGAAAGCTCCAAGGAAAGTGATCAAGCCATTGCAATTCAAACAATACTTGAATACTATGAAATATCAGATGAGATAATTGGATTGTGTTCTGACACAACATCCAGTAACACTGGCAAAAATAAAGGTACTGTAAGCATTATTATTTCCTATGCCCTTAAAAGACCAGTTTTCTGGTTAATGTGCAGACATCACATTTATGAAAGACACGTTGCTCATAAGATGACAGAAAATTTTGGTCCAACAAGAGGTCCCAGTAAGAAACTTTATGTAATTCTCCAAAAAACTATGGCCACAGATTTATGAAGATGTAAACATACTTGAGAGAACCGTAGAGTTTGACTGGTCTCAAGATGCCTTCAGGCCCAGCTCATTATTGTTCAAACTTGCCTTGGATACTAAAGAGTTGTGTATCACAGCTCTTTATAAGAGTACTTTCTAGAGAAGTGATTACAAGTATCATTGTGAGCTTTTGGCATTTTTTCTAGCAGCTGAGTTATTGAACTTTTCATTTAAACAGCCTGGAGCTCATCATGAAGCAAGATTTATGACTGACTGCATATACTTATTGGTTATTCAGATGACTCAAATGTACCACCCTGCTGATTCCAAGACAGAAAAAATACAATAAACCATCTGAAAGGTGCAACCAACTACATTGTATTTTGTCTCCGCAACAAGTTATTTTTTGCTCTTGCTGATAAGTATCTGAAAACTGAAGTTAAGACCAACATGTTAAACTACTTTCTTATGCCCTATTCTTATCTACTATTCTTCTATTCCCTGAGTTAAAAGATCTAATTAAAAAGAGGTCTGAAACTAAGGTTGAATTTATTCCTACATCAAAATTAGAACACATTGTTAACGAGCAGTACTACCTTTTGTTCTTGCTATTGGAGATCTCCAAGAAGGAATTTCTGCTATGGAAAGAAAAAAGGTGAAACATGTGAAAATGAGGTTTCCCAGTCTTTTACTTACCTTTCAATGTGTAAGAAGGCTTGCAGTTGTAAATAACGGTGCAGAATGCCATACTAAGTAGTCCTTTTATAAACTTATGAATTTGTAATTTTATGTAGTTTAGAGGAACCAGCAAAAGATTTCAAAGAATGCTACAAAGAAAGATCTTGAAATTATTTAGTTAAATATTTGTATTAATAATATTGGTTTATGTTATATTACAAGATTATTTTTTGATGTTTGAAAAAAGTGATTTTTTGAAGCTTGAGGAAAATGAGTAACCCCTCAAATTGAGGGGGGGGGGTCAAACTGTCTATTGTTCATAGTTTTTGATCGTTAAATCAATTTTAAATTTTATTGATGAATATAGATTTAGATGAGAATAGTAAAAAAAAGAATGTATCAAGTTGATGCTCTCACGTTTGGGGCAGTTGTAGCTGAAATGTTTGTGCTTTTTTGTTCCCAGGCTCCAATCATTGCAATTTTTTGCAAAGCATCCTTATTTGACATAAGTATAAACATATATGTTTAAAGTTTGTTCTATGTCTGGAAGTTAACCTTAAATGTTAAAAAATGCTGTATCCGCACATGCACCTGCATTCTTAAAATTATTTGCTATTCAAATTGTTGCATTTAAAACAAAATTCTCCTTAAAATTAATGATTTATTTTGTAAAAAAATTCACTTAAAGATTTTACGACAAGCATATTTGTTTGTTTAACATGCACCAGTTTATCTGTTTGTTTAGGTAACAATTGTAATCAGAATAATATAAATAAAGTCATTTTTAAGTCAAATTTTACTTAACAAAATAAAAGTAAATTCACCTAAACAACCTTTTGGTTTAGCTAGACACTTATTTTTGTTGGTATTTATAGACAAAATGATGCCAAATGCAGTATTCCGCACATCAAAATTCAATTTATGATATATTTTTGGGACACCCTAATATATTTATAAATATATATATATATATATTTTAAAAAGTCATAAATGAATTATTTGTCAATTCGGGAGATTTTTATAAAAACTACAAAAAATAAGGAGAAGTCATTTCAAACAGAATCTTCTTATTTTCAATAAATAACAAAATACCAAAATCAATTAAAGACATAATGTATATACAATATGTACATTTTTATAGGATTTTAAATAATTAAAATTATTATTTAAAATCCTATAAAATCCTTCAAAAAATTATCAATTAGTATAATTCATTCTCCTCAATAATATACTTTAGTAGATATATTAAAAAAAGAGAAAAGTTTTGTAGGATGTATCCATAAATAAACAACATAAAAGTTAAAATTGTTTTAAATATGACACATGTTGTTTTTAAAAATATTTCATATAAAAATTGGTATACATTTTACAAAATAATGTCAAAAACGCATCCAATGATTTAAGCAATTTTTCAACAGAAACAAACTTGCATGCACTTTTTATAAACATAAGAAGTGGTTTTAGACCATGGCTTACATTTAACATATAAAGAAAAATTAACCTAATTTTTAAAGAAAACTTAAATTATAAAGTTTTTTGGGGAAAAAAAAAGTAAAATTTCTTGATGCAAAAAAATACTTGCACTGAGACGAATCTTGGATGAAAATTTAAATAAATCTCAAGTTTTTTGGAAGACAATAAAAATTTTTAACCATATAAAAGTAATATATACTTGCTTTCTTCACTATTTAATACTGAGAACAAATGCAAAGGAAACAAGTTTTGTAGTTCCTTCATCTCTCCTGCGAACATTCTTTGAGAATGTTTGCAGTAGAGTAAACACTCCTAATGCATTTCACTTAGAGGTGAAACATTTCACAAATACAGGTGAAAATAAACTAAAAAAAATTAAAATAAAGAAAGCAATCAAAAAACCTTACTCCAGTTTTTCTAAAAAATATTACCTCTGTTATACTAAAACAATTACACCATAACTCATTAAACTCAACACATGCTCCATTAGCATAGAAATCTACTACAACAGATGTTCCATTAGCATAGAAATCTACTACAACAGATGTTCCATCAGCATAGAAATCTACTACAACAGATATTCCATTAGCATAGAAATCTACTAAAGTTGCACCATTCTTGTTGGAAAACTTTGATAAAGTAAAAAATTATTGTCTAATCTGTTTTACCAGCATTTTCAAGAATTTTTAAATTCCTCTTGATAATCCATAAATTGGGCAGTTCATACCCAATTTATGGATTATCAAGCTGTACATTTTGTATTAAACACATATTAACAAGTTTAGTTTAGTACTACATCAATGTTTACAAGGTTTACAGTAATTTGAAAAAAGAAGATCAAAAATGAAACACCAAAGTAAAAAAAAATAAAACATTACTAAGTACCTATCAAAAATTAAACTTTAATACAATAAAAAAGGAATTTTTTATGGGTGTTAGTGCTTACAATACACATTTTAAATAACAATTAAATTTAAACAAAATCTTAAACATATATTTAACTTTGTACTCACAAACATATACAAAATGCAAAACTATATTTGCAAAGGACTTTCAATTTATCTAATAAAATATTTTTTTTGTTTAAAAATTGTTCTCAATTTGAAAGTTTTAATATTTAAAAATCGTTTTATAATTCTCAGTGATTTTAATTTATTTTTTTTTTGTTGAAATTAATCAAATAAATCAATATTATAAAAATCAATACTAGACAATTTTCTCCTTTTTTATTTATTTCTTATTTTTATTTATTTTTTATTTTTATTTATTTTTTATTTTATTTATTTCTTAATTTTATTTATTTCTTAATTTTATTTATTTCTTAATATTTATTTATCTCATAGCCTTAACTTGATTCAAATTTATAAGAAACTTTTTTTTTTTTTTTTTTTTTTTAATTTAACTCATAATATAAAATGAATTTATACTTTATCTCAAAATTAACATAAAGTTTTATTTTTTTTTTGAATATCTTACCCAAAAGTGGAACAGAAAGTTGTCTTTTAAAAAGAGATTGTATTCTATCAATCTGCATATCACTAAAAAAAAAAAATACTGAATTCAATTTTTATTTTACACTATTATAACAAATAGGTTTTGGATGAAACTATATAATAAATTATATACATAAGTTGACTGGTTAGCGTGTATAGTATGAATATATGCTTTCCTGTCTATTATGATTTGATTAAAAGTAAAACAATTATTTTCTCAAAAACGGTGATCCAGAATCTGACCTAATTAAACTTCGAAAATTAATATGAAACTAATAACATCTAATTAACAATCTTTAACCATAAAAAGTGTACTATAATTGTTAAAAATACTTACACTTTTATAATTGTTAAAAATACTTACACTTTTGCTTCCATCCCAATTGTATCACCTGATTCATGAAGTTGCTGCAATAGAAAAAATTTCAGTTTCATAAATTTTTTTAAAAAAAATCAAACTGAAAAAAAAACTAAACATTATTTATATCGCGACAATGGTAATTTGGTAATAACTCACCATTTGAAAACTATTTTTTGTAAAATTAATAAATTTTGATCATAATGATGACACCATTTTTGTTACATTTACAATTATTTTTTTATAACAGTTAATTCAGTTTGTTAATAGCTCTTGTTATATAAGCCAAAATATCACTTTTAATAATAATAACTAAAAGTATGATACCAAACATGAAACTTTATCAATTTATAATATTTTCACACAAACTGTTAAAAATGTCATATATAGACACACACACTAAAAATATACTATATAAGTCTTTATTATTTTTATAAAAAAATATAAGGAAAGAATTTTACTTTATTGTTAAGGTGTTTTATAAGCAATCTCAAGTAAGTTCAAAAAATTAACTATATAGATCTTTTCATAAATATCTCCATCAGCAAAAGAACTTTTCATAAATATCTCCATCAGCAAAAGAACTTTTCATAAATATCTCCATCAGCAAAAGAACTTTTCATAAATATCTCCATCAGCAAAAGAACTTTTCATAAATATCTCCATCAGCAAAAGAACTTTTTTAAAGAAAGGCTGCTTGACAAAATTAGTGCAAACTATTGTTGATTACTTACTTTTTAATAAACTTTCAACAACAACAAAAATGATTTAATTTGTCATGATCTGAAATAAGTATATGCTGCCAATTTTTCTGTTTTCCTATTTATATTTTTTTTATTTACAATTAGTTGTTATTGAAGTTTTTTGTCTTTAAATTTTAAATCTATTAGTTTCTTTTCTCATCATATAAATTGTTATCCCATTAAGATTTTGTCAAAGTTTAATTTTTAATTGGTTATTTTAGCATGATGTGACTACTCAAGGTGGAATGTTAACTTGATCCTGCAATGCATAGACTTGAACCGACAATGCATAGACACAAACGTAACAGTCAAGTATGTTTTTTAAATGGTAATAATAAAACTTTTCTACAAAAAAAAACTATTTCTAAGAATTCAGAAAGGATTTTTTTGTAAATTAATGTTACAACTTTTTCTAAAGATTTTAACCTTTAAACATGAGCCTTGACAAAAAAACAGATTGAGCATGGTATTTCTAGAGACATTGGGTTTGTAAGCCAATTGTTTTACCACTGGTTTACTACATTTATTAAAAACCATATTATTTTTATGGCTGTGTTTTTATTTTTCAACTGTAATATTTTCACTATTTTAAACAAAAATTTTAAATTAAAACTTTTTAAAATGAAAACTCACAATTTAAAAGAAAAAATAAAACATTTTAACAAACTGCTAATGATCATAGTTAAAAGTCTGGTGTATGGAGTTGTTTTTTTATTTAAAACTTTGAAAACCGCTAGTAGCAACGTATTTTTTAGATAAATTAAAAGATCAAAAGTCCACTTCAGCTCTAGAGCTTCACCTGAAGATAAAAATCAGTAAAAAGTAAATCAAAAATCTATATCAGTAAAAATCTATATCAGTAAAAAAATCTATATCAGTAGAAATAAAAATATATATCAGTAAAAGTAAAAATCTATATTAGTAACTGTAATAAATGCTATATTGAACATGCAGAAATAAAAACAATTAAGATCATAAATACCTGGTATGAATCCAGAATAGCCATTTCAAACTCTCGATATCCATCCCATATTAATGAGCCCTAAAAATAAAACCTTAATCTTTAACTGAACTAATTCAATATCTTTTGGTTGAGTGTAATTAGAAAACAAGTAATGTATATTTGTATATAAGAGCAAAATCCAAATATTTCATATACCTATCACTCCACCACCACCTCTTCCCTCCCAAAGAAATATAGCTAAAGTTAGGGTCTTAACTAATTAGGAAATGTAACAGAAGTTGGCGATAAAAATGTTTTTTTATTCTGTACTGTGTTGTCGAACTTATCTTTAAGGCTGACGTAGATGTAAACCTGTTTAACATTGTTTTCTGCCTAGTGCGATGAATGCTGAATCTTCTTGACTTTACTTGGGGCTTTTCTGTTGTACTTCCTTGATAGTGGTTAGGGACCTATACCTGTTATCTCTGTATGAAGGCACAGCTTTAAAACTTAATTTAATGGCTCTGAGGCCAGCTGGTAGTACGATTTCCTGAACTCTGTGGTAACTCTCAAAATAGCTGATTCCATTAACAGCTGTAAAATATCAGAGTATTAAGATTGCCATGTTGCAAATGGATGACGTCCCTGTTAGTGCTTTTGGTGTGCATTGTATTGACCACATAAGCAACCCTATTTTACAACATTAGGTTAATTAGTAGGACTGAGGCAACTTTGATGATAGTAATAAAAGTGTTCATATTAACAATTTTGTATAAGAAAATTAACTTTCTTTCGATCACCTAATGAATGCCTCTTGTTTAAAATTTAACATTATATATGTCAACTACACTTCTAAAATTCTTATTTATAAAAAGTTATAAGACCCAAGTTTTTTTGTTTACAATGTGCAGTTTACAACATGATGTAATATAAAAAACAATTTTACAGCATCTGCAACAACATATTTATCTGTGTACTACTTGTACACCATTCTTTGAAATTAATGAACCAACAAAAAAGAAAATAGAATTACCTCAGCCACATTTAATCCAACTGCTGTTATGGCTCGCTCAAAAACGCTTCTCGCTCGTTCAATATCTGATGGAGATTCAATGTTATTCATGACAAATTGACAATATTCGTGCCAAAGTTTAACAGCTTCATAAAAAAGAAAATTATATGAGATAAATTATACATAATTTAATAAAACCATTTTACAAAAAAAAAAAATGTAAATAAACTTGGAAATTGAATGTTTATACATGTATAATCTTTGACAGCCAAGTCAAACTTTTCCAAGAGATATTCCTTGTGTTCTTGAAGTATTGCTAGAGGCAGTTCATCAGAAAACCATTCCAGCCACATAGCTTTTTTAAAAAAAATACAACATGCTTAGTAAGAATTAGTAATTAATTTTTTTTAATAGTATTTTAAAATATAAAAATTAAATGTTTATGTTTTTGTTGTTAACTTTTACAAGTAAATTTTAAAATAAACTATAATAATTAAGCTCTTTTATTTAAATAAAAGAGTATATACATATATATATATATATATATATATATATATATATATATATATATATATATATATATATATATATATATATATATATGTATATATATATATATATATATATATATATATATATATATATATATATATATATATATATATATATATATATATATATATATATATATATATATTCAACACCTTCACTTCCATTAAGGCTGCAAGCAATCAGTATTAGAGTTGTAAGTTACTGGAAGAGAAAAGATGAAGTTTATAAAGCAAGATAACAAATGACAGATGACTTGAAAGATAGCAAATTATATGAATCAGGAAGACAAATTGAAGGAAGATAATTCTGATGATGCTTGGGAAAAAAAACTATACAAATAAGAACTTTTGGAGCACATAGGAACAGTCACAGTAAATAAATAAGACTTTATTGAATGATGAGTAACACGAGAATGAAATTTAGTAGATGGCACAAGAGAGGTTAGCTCTTTAGAACAGTGCCCATAATAGTATTTATAGATAAGAGAAAAAGAAGAAACATGATAATATGATAATGGTTGGAGATTGGCTGCAACAGCAGGTCCAGCTACGTTTACCATGCACTTTTGCACCTTTGTCTAAATGAGAAAGGTCATTACTGGAAGATCCGCCCCAAATATGGCAACAGTATTCCAAACAAGGATGGATTTGAGATTTTTAAAGATAGAGAATAAAATCCTGGGTAAGAAAGTGACAAGCACAATAAAGAGATGTAATCTTAGCAGATGCTAATTTTGCATATCAGAAGTAAGAGTTAATCCTAGAAGATAAAGGGTAGATGACTCATCAAGTACATTACCATTCATAAATATTCAAAGATGTAGATTATTGTGATAATAATTATCTGAAAAAAATTGAGTTTTATCTGAGTTAAAGTTCATCAGTCACTGAGAGTCCCATGCTGTAGCAGTAAGATCATTTTCAAGCTCAAATGCTCTCTCCAGAGTAATCAGAGAGTGTTGGCTTCTTACCAAGACAAGAATAAATGAAAGTATCATCAACAAACAATGCCACCTTAATTGTGAGAATTTCTGGAAAATTGTTAATGTAAATTTAAAAAAATTTTGGGCGAAGAATAGAACCTTGAGGAACCTCTGAAGTTACAGAAGAAGAGTGCTACCCATTGAAGTTACAGAAGAAGAGTGCTACCCATTGAGGACAACTTTTATACTACATTTGGTAAGGAAGGAATCAATAAAACTTAATTCATTTTTAAAGTAAAATTAACTGTTATGAATACTAGGCTTATACATGTTACTTGATACACTGTAAGAAGAAAGCTTATGGAGAAGACCAGCATGCCAAACTTTATCAAAAGCTTTAGAAATGAAAGTTTATTTCTTACTTTATCAAATGCTTAAGAAAAAAAAAATAGCAAGATTATAGTCACAAACACTTTTATGCTTATTGGATGAAACATAACATAAATAATACCCCTAGAGATTCTTTATAAAAATAATTACTCTTTGGATTGTACAAAACAGTGATAGTTTCTCATATCAAGGATTTTAAGTATCTCTTTGTGTCATTAGTTGGTTAGGATAAGTTTCATGGTTATAAAAACTTTTGCCTCATTTAGAATTTGCTTCAATAATTCAGAATTGTTTCTATAGAAAAGACATCAATAAAATAAAACCAGTGCAACAAAAAGCGAAAAGAATTAAATCCTCAAGAGACGATGCTACAAAAATTGGTTTAAAATATTTTGGATGACATCTATCATAATAGATTGATAGAATATTTTAAACAAATATATATTAATTAAAAGAAAGTATCTATCAAAAAATAACTTAAAAGAAAGTATCTATCAAAAAATAACTCAACAACAAGAGATCATAATCAAAATCAAATTAATTGAAAACAAAAATATTTTTTAAGTAATATTTAAAAATGGATTTAAATACTTTATAAAAATGATAGACTGAAAACTTAATTCAATTTTAAAGTAAAATGAACTGTTATGAATACTAATCTTCAAATATTCTCATTTTAAATGTACTGATGTATTGTCATTATTTAAATTAGATTTATTTGCATTTGACAGTCACTTATTTTACAGAATTGCTAAAATTGTCAACACTAGAACCATTAACTGATATTCCATTCTTTCAGGATTTTATTCTAGAGGCGTGTCCAAAGAAATAAAAATAAATCTTGTGTTAGATAAATAAATTTCACTACATTTTTAGAGGAAGTTGTAGTAGATAATAAGGTAAAAAGTGAATGACATTAAAATTTTGTTTCTGCATACCAGAAAATCCCATACATAATTAAATATCTTTTACACATCTTACAAAAATAATCTGTAAAGTAGGTATATACCTTTATTATTACACCTTCTTCAAACCATCTACTTTTGGTGTCTTAAATTTTTTTTAAATGAACAAGTATTTAAACATTTAACAATGCCTACACTAATCCATACTTTAAACTAGCATTAACATTGGGCTATTTAACAAGTGTATTCTAATTAGAGAAATCTTTTTTAGTTTTATGATAAAATCTCACTCAGAAGTCTGTAGTTCATACTGCAGTTGCTAACTTTGTTTTTATCATTTTGCTTTACTTTAACTCAAAATATTTTAGAAAACTTCAACAATTTTGAAAGATTAAAATCACACATAATATGAACATTTTATTTTCAAGTGTGCTATATTATAATAAAATAGAAAACAAAACTTGCTTTTTTTAACAACATCAAATAATTCATAATTTTAAAAATATGTTTTTATGTTAGACATTCCCATAGACAAACTATTTTAAGGACTCATCTCCAAAACAAGGCCTTAAAAAAATATTTTTTTCATCGATATAACTTTTAACCTTACGCTCTAAAATATTTAAGTTAAGTAACCTTATTCAATTCTTCAAATGCCAATTCATCAGTTTGTTTAAATGCGATTCATCACTTTGTTTAAATGCCAATTCATCAGTTTGTTTAAATGCCAATTCATCAGTTTGTTTAAATGCTAATTCATTAGTTTGTTTAAATGCTAACTCATCAGTTTGTTTAGATGCCAATTCATCAGTTTGTTTCAATATAACTTTTAACCTTGTATCAGTTTGTATAAATATAACTTTTAACCTTGGGCTCTAAAATATTTAAGTTAAGTAACCTTATTCATTTGTTGGTATTATTCAAGTAATACTTTGCCCATCTTAATATTTAAATACATCCTTTTGTTATCTTTTTTATTTTATTAAATGTTGTGTTATCTCATTCATACATTATGTCTAATGTCATCTCATCCACTCTTTACTTATTTCTGATTCTATTCTATACTTCTATAAATGTTAAAACAAGACAAGGTTACATCTTTTCCTCATTTCTACAGATTGTTCAACCAAAACTTCAATCATGTTTGACTCCTCATTTAAATAAGTTGCATATTTTAATTGCAAACTCAACTAGTTTTAACCCTAAAAAACAATGCTTTGGAAGTCTGTCATTTTCTGTTTTCCTGAATCATAACAGTATTTTAAAAGAGACATGTGCAGTTGTATGCCTTTTCCTGACCACGCAAATAATTTTTTGTTATGAGAACTTGGCCAATGCTATTTGCATGTTGTTTTGTTTTGCGAAAAAAACAATAATTTCCAATAAAGTTTGCCGAAGCGAAGGGATACCACCACCTAAATTTTTTTTATGTATGTATGTATGTATGTATGTATGTATGTATGTATGTATGTATGTATGTATGTATGTATGTATGAATGTATGTATGTATGTATGTATGAATGTATGTATATAATACATACATACATACATACATACATACATACATACATACATACATACATACATACAGGGCCGGATTTACCTATAGGCCGACTAGGCCACGGCCTAGGGACCCCAACATTTGGGGGCCCCAAAATTTAATAAACATAAAAAGTTGAAAACTAAAAATAATGTGTAGAAAAATCAAAAATGTTGTAAAATTTATTTTTCATTAAATTCTCAAAATTCACACTGTTTTGTTTAAATAATAAAATTTTAAATAAAAAAATGAAAATTTTTTTTTCCCCAAAATTAAATTATTTTAGGGGCCTCAAAAATGTTTTGGCCTAGGGCCCTTAAAAGGCTAAATCTGGCCCTGCATACATACATACACTGTTTGCCAAGTTTAGCGTTTTGAAGTTAAGAGAGAGTTTAAAGTTTTGGAGTTGAGAGAGAGTTGTAACCACAACTAAAAGTAGCCTCCTCGACTGTAGTGGCATTGCAGAGCTGAACTGTAGTGGCCTTGCAGAGCTGAATTGGAATTAAAAAAAAAAAATTTATGTATATACATACTAACTAGTAAAAAAACACTTAATTTCAGTATGTGTATATTTTCTTCGGTATGCAAAAAAACACTTTTTGAAGAATCTCAAACAAAAAAAACTAATATCAGATAAAAAATGTGTAACATGAGTTAACTTTTTAAAAATGTGTATTAAATATAAAAAAAAAAAAAAACATTTTTATAATAATATCTTTTTCTAGTATGATCTCACAACTATTTCAATTTTTGTTTTTACTAATAGATAAAAACTATTTAAAAAGGTAAATAAAAAATAATTTATATTACATTCACTGAGAGGGTACACATTTGCCATGTTTTCTCTTGCTGTACGCAACTGATCAAGATCTCCAGATTGACGTAAAGCTGTAATAAGCTCAACATGCTTATCATATTGAAAAGGATTGACTTCAGCCTAAATCAGATCCAAAAAATTATAAACTTTAAAAAAATTTTATTAAACTTTCATTTGTTTTTTATAAAAAAGATTTTTATTTAATTATTATAAAAAAAGTAACAATAATAATTTAAATTTCCTTCAAATTGTTATAAAAAGATAAGGTGCGGTAGTGGTGTAGTGGTAGAGCGCTCGCTTCATAAGCAAGAGGTTTCAAGTTCGAATCCCACCATGTCCCTGGTAGTACTGTGCTCAACTTGTTTCTCTGCGCAGCGGCCTTGTTTGTCAAGATTCGTGTTTTGGAGTTAGAGAGTTGGAAGAGAGTTATAACCTCAAGTAGCCTCCTCATCTGTAGTGGCCTTGGTTATTTTAAAAAAACTGAAAAAAGTAGAATAAAAACTAGATTAAATCAGTTAAAAATCAGAAAAATTAACAGAACCTTGATGTAATTTTAACAAAAAAAATAATAAAATGACCACATTAGACAAGCCACAGGTAACACCTATCCTAGACATGCTTAAGCCGACATTTAAGCAGACATTTATAAACAGAACCTACTTTTAATTGATGGTACACAAACTTTGTTTAACCTTTTTTAGAATACTGTGGATATGTTTGGAATTGCATTCAATAAAAATATAAAAGGTTTTAGAAGCTAAATGGAGAAAACAATAAAATTTGTGTCAGAAATAAGAAATCTAAATAAAAAAGTAAGCCTAATTTATTTCAATGTGCTAACTTATGAACAAAGAAGTAAAAAATGGTATTTGAAATTTTATCTTAAAACAGTCATAGGATTCAATAAAGTATATTGAAACCTCATCAATGTTCTATCACATTCTCGATCAGCACAAGGACCTGAAGTCATTGTTAAAGGGTATAAATTAGTGATGTACCTATTACACATTTTTGGCTGATGCCGACACTGATGAACAAAAAAAGATCAAAACTGATGCCAATCGTGTCACATGATAGAGCCGAAAATATTTATCCTCGAAAATATCACCGAAATATTTCACAACCGAAAATTTTAGAACAGAAAAGTATACTTTCATTGCAGGATCGAATTACAAAACCTTTGTTGCGCCGAAAGTCTTTAAACCGAATTTTACAACCAAAAAAATTTGGATTGAATTACAATATCCTTTCTTTTTCACCTAACGTCAAATAGCCTGCTGCTGGGGGCTTCAGTACATACATTGACTAACAAATAGCCTGACTCGCAGTGGAGTGCTGCTACATCGACTGAGGGTTTGGTATGGGTCAGCAACCTTTTCATTCATTATTCTTCGTTTTCCCTCATCGTTTTCTAAAATATACAATGTTTGATAACAGTGTAACTTTCGGTTGTAAACCATTTTAATGAAATTCGGTTCTAAAATCATTAATGACTTTCGATCGAAAATTCGATCGAAAGTTTTTTGGTTCTAAAACATTAATGACTTTCGATCGAAAATTCGATTGAAATTTTTTCGGTTCTAATTTTTTTCGTAAATATTTTCGGTTGTGTAATAAATTTCTCATATTCGGTTCTAAATTGAAATTAGGGATTCGGTTGAATCATAGGACGCCGATGCCAATACTTATTAATTAGCCGATTATAAGAATAATCTAAATATACTGGTAACATGTAATCAATTGTGTCATGATAAAAATTTTGTCTTGGGCAGATGTTAACATCCGGCTACTGCCTTGTGGAAAATTTCTTGGGCAAAAACTTTAGGTGTAACCAAAAAATTTTTGTAGGCAGCCTTACTCCTTTTTCATAAATAGGCTGACATAATGAAACCTGCATTACATGATGAACACATGATGAAATCTGCTTTGGTTGATAAGGACATTTATTTAAATTATCAAAAGATGTTATATTGTTAAAAAGTGTATTTTTGACTATTTTTATAAAGAACAATTAAAATGATTGTTTTAATAAACTTTTTGAAGAATCCATAAATATATTAGTCGAAAACATAACAAAATTATTATTTTTTTGTTATGTTATGTAAACATTCTAATAAAATTTATTTTCACTAAACTAAACGCTTTTAAATAAAGTTTTAAAACGCATTAAATTTTAGAATATTAAATAAAACTTATTTACATTTCAAAAGTATTTCTTTTTAATGATGAATGTAAATTTTTTTAAACAAATTATATTCTTAATTTTATAAACAATGATGACAACAAATAAGTTACAATAAACTTTTTTTTTAAATACTTTTTGATAATTTAAATAAAATGAGTCCTTTATTAAATGATAATTAGATTAAAGTTTTTTTTTTATTTAAAAGATTTTGGCTAATAATATAAAAACATTCAAAAATATCAAAGTTTTATAATTTGTCACGTTACACAGTGGTCTAAAAATTTTGATTTTTGATGTTTTCATACTAAATCGATAATGCTAAATCCAAATCTGATAATAGTATTTGATTTAAAGATTTTGTTGTTCAGATATCGCATGAGCAACCCAGTAAAGAATTTCAGAAAGTTTTTATTTTTTGCTTGAGAATTTATAATATATATATATGTATGTATGTATATATATATATATATATATATATATATATATATAATATATATATATATATTTAAATAGGCTGCAGCGAGGGAGGGGGCAATGCCCTCCCTTCCTCTCTCCCCTACAAAAAAAAAAATTTATATAAAACCAAAACTAAATATTTTGGTTACAAATTGTAGGTGATGATTTCCATTTATTTTTCACAAGTTTTTCATCAATATTTTTTAATAATAAATAACAAGCAAATAATAAATCAGGAATTATTATTAAGAATTATCAGGCAATAATAGATGTTCCTGTGCTGTTTCTCTATTATATTAATAATCTTACTCCTAATTACTCTAATTCCATTCTATAGTTCTATAAATGTACTATTTATCTTTGTATGGAATACTGTTGTCGTATTTGGGCTAGTTCTTTTAATTCTCTTTTAGACATAATCCAAAAACACATTAGTAATGTAGTTGGACCTGCTCTAGCTCCCAAGCTTGTGCTTCTGTCTCATTTGTCATGCAGATGCATCTTTTTCTATTTTCTACAACTATTACCATGGACACTGTTCAAGCAATGTACAACTCTTACAAATCTCTTGTTCAAATCAAAAAACTAAATTTGTTCCAACACACAATTCATGTTCTACCTAAACTTAATCTCCCGTGAATCATCATTTAGCAAAGTTGCATCTTTTTATTGTAACAGTTCGGCCATTCGCAAAAAACTTTTATAAACCCAGTTTTTTTTACCTAAAACACAATATTTTAGAAGTCCTGTCTGCATGCTTTCCTCATTCAGTTTACAGTCTTGAAAATTGAAAGTCTTTTATCAATCATTTTCTTGTTAATTAACTTTCTTCTTTGCTTTCTGTTAACTACCAATTTACACAATATTGACTGCTGCTTTTTTGTAAGTAAATTTGCTATTAAAAATATACAGTATGTGCCAAAAATGTCACCATGTTTGAACAAAAAAAATATTTTATATATATTTTATTAGAAAAGCTGTAAAGAAAAATTAAATTTTAGTTTTATTAATTAAATTTAAAACTTAGCTAAAAATAAATATTGCTTTTTGTTAAATTTAGAAGATATTGAATTTTTTTTTTAACTTTTATGTGAAAAGCTGATGGTAACAATTTTGTTGCAAATGAAAGCAATTAACATGTGTCCACAGTTTATTAGGCATATGACATAAAATTAATAGCCTTATGACTAAAATGATTGAGTTATCAACTTTTTACAGTGTTTTAACAACTAAATATCATTTAAAATTTGATTTTGTTTACAAAACATTAAAAAAAAGTATTATTTTTATCATCATAAGGAAAATAAATCTTGAACTACAAAAAAAATATGGTGGAAAGGCTAAAATCTGGACAATGTTATTGTGAAATCGCTGCTGAGTTCAGAAAGTCTTATATCTCATATATAAAATTAAATTGCGCAATAATTTAGAACTAAATAAGCCTAAAAGTGGTCGAAAGCAAATTTTTACACCAAGAGACCAAAGAACAATCGCTTGTTTAATTACTACTAGAGAGTCTAAAACTGCAAAGGATGTTACTAATTTAATGAATAACAGTTATGGGACTCATGCTTCAGTGCGGACAGTCAATTGAGAGCTCAAAAGTATTGGTTTTCGATCTAGAAGGAAGATCAAAAAGCCATTGTTAGTTTCTTGTCACCGCCAAGCTTGTTTAAATTATGCTAAACTTCATGCACACATGACTTTTGATGACTTTTATGACTGGATTTGGACAGATGTAAGTAAAACTAATATGTTTGGATCAGATGGTATAAGATATACTTGGAGAAAGCCTAATTCACCTATAAGTGCTAGAGATTTTACACCAACTGTTAAATATGGTGGAGGAAAACTCTTGTTTTGGGGATGTTTCTGTGCTCGTGGAGTTAGTGAATTAGTAAAAATTAATGTAATAATGAACGCTGATGACTATATCAACATCCTTAAGGTCGGATATTTCAAGTCCCTTTGAAAATGGGGCAGAACTGTATGTAACAACATGTTCATACAAGACAACAACCTTAAGAATAAGGCTGATAAGACCATTAAATTCCTTCACAAGAAGAAATTGAAAATCGTTGACTAGCAAGCACAAAGCCCTGATCATAACCCACTCAAAAAATTATGGGCAATAGTTAAACAACGGGTTTACAACTTTATTACCTAAGAATAAGGGTGAATTTTGGGCTGGTGTAAAAGAGATTTGGTACTCAATTACACCCGAGGAATGCCGCAAATTGGTTGCTAGTGTTCTTGAAAGAATTTAGGCTGTAATTAAATCTAAGGGAGGATACACTTGATCTTAATCTACTACAATATGTTATTTTCTTTCATTTGCGGTAAAATTGTCACCATAAGCTCTTCAAATAAATTTTTTTTAAAAAATTCAATATTCTCTAAATTTAATAAAAAGCAATATTTTCAGTTAGCTAAGTCTTAAATTTAATTAATAAAAATTAAATTTCATTTTTCTTAGCATCTTTTCTATTTAAAAAAATATGAAATATTTCTTTGTTCAAACATGGTGACAATTTTGGCACATACTGTATATTAAATTACATAATTTTGTCTAAAAAATCAAAGGTATGTCTATATTATATATAAAGCAAATTTGGTTTATTTCGTATATAACTATTTTTATAATGCAGGATTAAATTTTTTTTAAAAAAAAGCAATTGGTTAGAAAATTTGTAAGTGAATAAAAAAAGGAAGATACTGATTACAATTGTGCAAAAAGTGGCCATTTAAATCAATACCAAAACCAATTAATTGGATCACTAGTCCAAATCAAGATTTTTGAACATATTTTTAACAAGCAAGACTATACCTTTATAGTTTAAGTTACCCTTATGCTAATAAGGTATTAAATCAAAAAGCATAAATAAATTAAAAAACAATTATGATAAACAGATAATTTTGACAATTTGATAAATAAATTGTCAACAAAAAGACATCTGCAGCGCTCGAAATAACGGCCGATCAACGATCAATGATCGTCGACTTTTGGAAAAAATGAAATTTTGAACACACAAAATTAATTATGGCCGATCAAATTTGATCGTCTACATTGCATGTCACACATTAGAATAAAAAAATTTTTAACATTTAAAAAAGAATCTTAAATTTATTAAATTAGCATTAAAAAAAATATGTTCATTATTGCTGAATTAAACAAGTTTTTAGACCAATAATAATCTTTTAGTTCATATTAAAAATGGTATTTAAAAAGAAGCGCGAAGTTTATTGTAAATAACTTAATAATGCTTTTGATTGGTGGAATAAACATAGAGTTGATTTCGTAACAGTCTTCAGTTCGAAAGTTTATTAACTGTAAAAGAATTATTTTAATAAAGCGAATTCATTTGAATAAAATAAATTAATAACTAGAAAGGTTAACATTTCTTTGATTGTCTGAAAAATAATGAACAAAGCAAGTTTGTGATTCGTTGGAAAACTTCATTTTGAAATCATCGTGACAATTTAAATTGAAAGAAACAGTTTTTGATTTTAAAGTTTTAGAAATTAAATGGTAAGTTTAAAATAATCTTAAAATGGAAGCATACAAAAAGCGTCAAACATTTATTTCTTTTAAAAGAAACTTAGTATCTGGAACACCCGCTGAGAAAAAACTAAAAACTTATGACAGAAAGCTACAATTACAAACAGCTAATAAATGGAAGGTCTCTACGCTTGCAAAATATAATGCTAATGATTGGCTTGAAATTGAAAGCGTTGACAGAATAGTTACAGCGCTAAAATGCAAAGTATGCCGAGAATATGCATCGCAAATTCAGATTTTAAAAGGCTACACTCCGGAATGGAGCTGTGGAAAAGGATGTAGTCGATTGCAACATAGTTCTGCAATCACGCATGCAGAGGGAATGTCTCATCAGAAGGCTTTTGAGATTTTTATGAAAACGAGAGGCATGAATTTGTGCGATCGAATTGAAAAACTAAACGAGTTGCAGCAGGAAATGCGGCAAACAGACATTCTATCCGGTATTCAAACCATGAATAGTAAAGACTTGGATTTGACAAAAAAAAATTTGAGGTCGCTTACTTTATAGCAAAAGAAGAACTATCGCTTTGCCTATACCCAAAAATAATTCAATTAGAAGAGAAACATGGTGTAGTTTTTGGTCAGGCTTATAAAAACGAAAACACATGCAGAGTATTTATTGACTACATTGCTCTTAGTTTAGCGATAGATCTTAAAAATAAACTAAATACTCGAAATTTTTTCACTATTTTAATTGACGTTTTATAACGACGTTTCAATTAAGGAAAAAGAAGCTATATTTGCCGTTACTTTTAATCCGGCTCCAACTGGAAAATCTGAAGTAAACGTTGAATGTGATTTTCTTTTTTTTTTGGATGTTGAGTATGGAACTTCGCACGGGTTTTCAACACCATAAAAAAGTCACTTGAGAATATAGAAGTCGTAAATTGCAATAAAAAACTAGTTGGATTTGGTGCGGATGGTGCATCCGTTAACAGAGGGAGCAAGTCGGGCGTTAAAATGTTGCTCAAGGCTGAAGTCCCCTGGATCACGTTTGGCTGGTGTGTAGCACATCGTCTCGAGTTATCATTAAAAGAAAAATTAGGAAAAACAGCCTCATTCAATGACGTTGATTACATGATTTTAAAAATGCATTACATTTACAAAAAATCCCTCAAAAAGTTAAGACAGTTGGGTGAACTCATTTCTATTTTAGAAGATGATGAATATAACATTGGTGGTTACCGACCTAAGAAAGCCTCCGGTATTTTCTTTTTTTTGCTTGATTTATTTATCTTATATTTATTACCATTACAGTTATGCGTGACGCCTATATTTTTAGTTTTTGAAAGTATAAAGTAAATTATAAATTGTATAATCTTGTTTCATTTTTAGGTACACGATGGATTTCACATAAAGTTCAGGCTTTAGAAATGATTTTAGATAAATACGGTGTTTATTTAACACATCTGGAAAATATGACTGAAGATATAACATTTACCAATGCTGAAAGAGCTAAGTTTAAAGGATACCACAAAAAGTGGATTCATGCTAGAATGCCCCCTTTATATCGCGTTGTTTATTGAGATTTTAGCACCAGCAAAGATGTTGTCAAAATGTTTTCAAAGTGATGAGATAGATGTGTTGGCTTCATCAGGGTTTGTTCAACAAGCTAAAAGCCATTTAAATCGTATTCAAAAAACAAAGTTTATTAATTTGCCAACAGTAAAACGTTTTCTCGCCAAAGTGACTGAAAAAGAAGGAAAGTTTTATTTCCAGGGTGTTGCACTTAACGACTTTGTAAATGCTAAACATTTAGTAAAAAAGTCTAAATCTATTCATATCGAGTTGGTAACAAATTCAATCATAGAGCGTTTGGAAACAAGCGATACTATTACTGATATGTATGGTACAAAAGTTTTAAATACAGAAGGTTGGCTTCAAAGTATTGAAAATGAAACATTCCTGGATGAAGGAATAGAAAATCTTTTTGACTTTTATAGAGCACCGTTGCGACATGCTGGTTTTGCAGGAACTGTAAATGATGTTTTGGATGCTTGGCATAGCTTGGTAAACTACACTGTAAAATATTTAGCACCACATAATACCGGTTATCGTAAGTTATGGCATCAAATTTTTTCTAGCTCAATGAAAAATGAATGGGTTCCGGTTTTACTTATTGTCAAACTATTATTTACTTTGCCTGTTTCTAATGCCAAAGTTGAACGCCTTTTTTCACTAATGAATAGAGTAAAAACGGATACAAGAAACTCACTGAAAGAGAAACGTTTAGAAAATTTAATTCGAGTAAGTTTGGATGAAAAAGATTCCAATTTATTTGATTTAAGTTCTGCTATCGAGTTAAGGACCAATGATGCCGTGCGAAGGCCAAAACAATCAGTAAGAAAATGCTATTCCAAAAGAGCAAAAAAAGCAGGATTAAAAACATTAATCGACTTGGATTCATCATCTAACGAATCAAGTAATGAATAGCGCAAAACGAGATTATTTTTTCTCACCTTTTTTTAGTTTAAAAAAGTTTTAATAATCAAATATTGGTTAAAAAGTTCATTACCTTTTTATTGTGTCATTTTTGTTAAAAAACGATCATTATATAAAAAACAATTGTTCGAGTCACAAAAAATATTTTTACGTCACTTAAAAGGCAAGGCGTTGAAGTGAAAAAGTGAATTAAGAGCTAAGTTTAAAAGTAAAAACTATAAACGATAACGCGGACGTACGCTGTTGTATTCAAAAACCAATAGCGTTCAGTTAGTGTTCTAAAAATAGATTTTTTTAGTACTAAAAGACATTAAGGTAAAGATATTTTAGAAAATTGCACAAATTCAATAGAATTTTCTAAAAACGCAATTTATTGTAGGTTGATAGCGGTAAAACAAACAATTTGACATCACCTAAACTGTACGCTATTAAAGAAAAAGTTAAGAAAAATTTGATCGTCTGGATAATTTTTTGATCCTCTACTTTATTACTTTTATTATTTCTGCCGATCAGTGTTGATCGGCAACCTTCAAATAATTATTTCAAGCGCTGCATCTGCTAACATTTTCCTTGTTTCAGATTCCTGTAATATTGCATTATATTGCATTAAGTTTAAGTGTTTCAAGCTAATATTTTAAACATATATTAATTGGCATCAACACATAATTAGTTCACATCACACTTTCTTAAACTCATTTTCTTATCTTGTGCATTTTCTATAAAACTTCTCAAGATTGAAGTTGTTGTACTGCTTGAACTACAAACTTCATCTTTATCTAATCTTTATCTTCTTTATCTTCTATAATCTTTATCTTCTTTATCTTCTTATATCATCTAAATCTTTATCTTATTTATCTTCTTATATCATCTAAATCTTTATCTTCTTTATCTTCTTATATCATCTTTATCTTCTATAAAACTTCTCAAGATTGAAGTTGTTGTATTGCTTGAACTTTAACAAGAATCCATTAACAGCTTGAACTACAAACTTCATCTTTATCTAATGATGAAGCAGGTAGCATGAAGATTTTGACCTTATTAGAACATATTTGATGCAAAGCATTTTAGAGAAAAGTTTTGTTAAAATTACTAAAATTATATAGTAAAGATGTATACAAAACAGATAGTAGAACATAAAAGATTAGCATATCTTAAATTTTTTATAAAAATTTTATATTAAAGTAAATGAGAATTTTATCTTCATATTAATTTAATAACATTTATTTAAACTTATTCAACAAGTAATAAATATTCCTTTGTAATAATCATATAAACAATTTTATATGCATATAAAAAAACAAGCTTACATATAATAATTTCTCCATCTTATATTGAGGATTTCAAAATACACTTGTAACAGATAGATTAATTTTTTTTATTATTATACTATTTGATTTTAATGGCAAAAAAAATTTTGTGTAAATTTATTAATATTTAATTTTAGTTAATTTTTAAACTAAAAAAAAAGTTATTTATGTCCTTATCAAATCCGAGCCAAGTTTTTGTTGACAATTTTATGTTTAAGATTAATCCGAATTTTGGGCTAAAAAGTTTCTAGTTTTAAGAGTTCTAATTTCCCATTTAAAAGTTTATTAAGTTTACTAATATGATATATTTTATTGGTAATCAAACCAAATTTCATCACACCCACACTCATTCAAGTAGGATTTTATCAATTGCACAAGCAAATTAAATTAAAGTTAAATTAGTCTTCTTTCTATCATAAGGTAGGTTTTTTAACCTTTAATTAACAAACACATAATCTCTCATCTTGAATCTAATAACTTACTTTCAGATCATCAATCTGGATTTTGATCTTTTCATTTCACAACCGATAGGTTTAATCGTACATTAGATAAAGGTGGAGGTTAAAGCTATCGCTCTTGATATTTCTAAAACTTTTGATAAATTTTGGTAGGCTGGCCTATAAAAACGACAACTATCTTTACTTTTAAGAACTCTATTATTTTACGTACTATTTACAATTTATATACATTTTTTGTAATCAACAAAAACTCCCTTGGGATAATTATGTACAAAAATAGATATAAAGAAAAATGACGACATATTTACACTAAGGATTTGTAAATGAATTAAGTTATAATAGCGTTTACAAATTAGCTATTTCTGCATAAGTTTTCTTTCATCTTAAAGATGTTACCTGATACTGGTGTATCAGGTAATATCTTTAAGATTATAGAACCCTTCCTTTTTAATCGTAATATAAAAGTTGTCCTTGATGAACAGCACTATTCATATCCTGTAACGTCAGGGGTTCCTCAAGGTTTTATCCTTGGCCCAATACTCTTTTTAATTTATGTTTAAAATCAGATACAATACAGATATTCTTAAATCTAAGATGGCATTGCTCGCTGATGATACTACTGATGATCTTGTCTTGATAAGTGGCCAACACTCTCTGGTTGCTTGGAGATAGCATTTGAGCTTGAAAAGGATCTTACTTATGCTACAGCATAGGGCTCACAGTGGCTGGTGAACTTTAATTCAGATAAAACCTGATTTTTTTTAGCCAATCATTACCGTAATAACTTAGATCTACCTATATTTATGAACTATGATATACTCGACGAGTCATCTACTCTTAATCTTCTAGGACTAACTCCTACTTCTTATCTTTCTTGGAAACCATGTATCAAATCCATTGCAAAACTAACATCTGCTAAGGTTGCATCTCTTTATCATGCTGAACACTTTCTTACTCCGGATTCTATTCTTTATCTCTATAAATGTCAAATCTGTTTTTGTATGGAACACTGTTGCCCTATCTGGGGCAGTTCTTCAAATGATACCCTTTCTCTTTTAAACAAAGTGCAAAAATGTATGTGCTAAGTGCTCCAAAAACTCATTTATATTGAAAATTATGAAAAAAAAAGTTGTTTTCTGTTGCAGATAATATTTTAAACTTCAAATTATAGTGATGTGATGTGTAAGTGAAAATTTAGGAAATATATTTTGCACTCTTATTAAAACAACTATTGAAAAGTAACTTAATACAAAAGGTACTTAAGATTTTGGAGCTTCTAGTACCAGTTTCTTATAAACAAACTTCATATTTTAGAAAAAAAAACATGTATAGCTGCAATATAACAAAAGTAATATAAGAAAATTTTAAAAATATATCTTATTTAACTGTTTTATACTAAGTATCATACTTATTTTAGATATTGGCTTTTAATGTATAAATTTGCCAAAAAAAATGCACATTTAGTTTAATAAACATAAAATGAACTGCTCTGTAGAATTTATTATTTTAGGGTGGCATGCCATTTGTTCACTGCCATTGTTAATAATTTACAAATTAACTTGCACTTCTATAATCTATTACTCAACTTTTAACTGGACACTATTGCAAAAACAACCAAAAATATATTATATGTGCAACATATAATTGCCTATACATATTCTGTCTGAAATGTTATAGCTTCAAAACCACCTGATCAATTACTAAAACTTGAATATTCAATAGTTAAAAACCAATGAATACAGCTAAAACCAAAATTTAATATTAAAAGGAATAACATTTGCTTCAAAAAAAACCATCACTTCATAGTTTTTGTCGAAAAAAGGTTTGTACAATTTAGTTTATGTTAAAAAATTTAAAAATTAGGTCTAAACTAAATTATTATATAAAAGCTAAACATTTAAATTTTATTTATATTATTGAAACATGTACTTTCATGTAAGACAAAAACAAATTCTAGGAAGCATTTCATCCATCATCAAACAAAAATGCATTCTAGGCTGTCAGTAGCAACTTTTCAGCATCAGATAAAAAGAAAATGCTATCCTTTTAAATGAGGGCTTTTGAACTTCATTAACACTAGATGCATTTTTAAATCAACCAAAGCTTTAAAAACAGAATAAATTGAAAAAAAAAAACTAAATGCACCTCTAAAATTAACTTCTGGATTTTTTTATTAACTTCATCTTCATCATCAGAAGAACTACTTTCCTCATCACTCTCCACGTGCGGATCATTAAGCGCCATATTGAACTTCAACTTTCGAGTTGTATATTATTCTTATATATATTTTTTTTATTTTTGTCTAGTTATATTATTCTTAAAAATTATTTTCTCCTGAAAAATCTTGTAAAACAGTTAAATAGTATATCTGATTCGTTCTAAAAATATAACCTTTTTTAAGTTTTTTAACTCGCGAAAAGTGTTTTTAAATTTGACGGCTCCATATCCGGCAAGTCGGATAGGTTAAAAAAAATTTAGTCCTTTAATTTTTAAATTCTAGTAATTCTAGTAATTTTTAACTCTAGTAATTCCAATAATTCGAACAAATTTATAATAAATTATATCAACTAATTTATAATAAATATTAAACACTGAAGGGGCCGAAGAATTTGGCCCGTCGGGGTTTAATATTTAGAATCGAACTCCTATAATTAGAAAGATCTTTTAATTCGAATGTATTTTGAGACATGGCCGACGACACAGGTTTTGAAGTGAGTGAAAAGGCAAAACAGTTAATTTCTAAAAAAAGTCCTCTATATTCTGAAATTTCCGGAAAAATTTTCCGGATTTGAATTATATTAGTTCAACTGTTAGGGTCGTCGTGAAGAGACTTTAAGGAAGGAGCGGGTAGGGGGAAAAGAGTTTTGCTGAATATGCCAAAAAAAAATTTCCCTTACTAAAGTCATGAAAATGAAAAAAGAGGTCCTCGTTGACATCGTTGACATTTGACTC